AACTTTTCCCAACCATGGTGGCCACGTCGCAAGATGCTGTCCAGTGCAGGAGCTTTGTTCGGAACAGAAAGATTCAACTGATGAGAGGAAGTGATTTAAAGCAATCTTGAGAATCTGTTGGGTGGGTCTTCCTCAGTCTATTGATTTTCACTTTTGGTCAAGATTCCACGGGTGAAAGTCACCTCAACTGCCTCCAAAACCAACCCAAAGCCAACCTTCAGGTAGCTAATGGGCTGGTTCTATCCTAGTTCCATGTCTGTGTGTTTGGGGATTTCATGGCTTGTTTCACCCTGGTACCAAAATGTTTGCACAATCAAAAAAAACAGGTCGAACTCTTGACATGTTTCGATGCTCAACATGACTCCACTATCAATTGTGCCGTCTAAAGCTGTACGTAGGCCATTGACTCACAACCGGATGGGTCGAAATCTAGGCACCACCAACTTGGTGCAACTGAAACTTCCACCCACTTTGGAGTGCCTGGTGTTTGAGCCATCAGCATTCGACAGGAAAGTCATTGTGGATCATCATTTCAGGTAGGTATGAAAATAAAATAAAAAGTCCATATGTTTGAAACCAGCGAACAACATAGGATCTATAGACCCTATAGTTCACATACAAATGAGAGATATGATTTTCGCCCCTGTGGTCTGGGGATCTCCATGATCGGCAATTTTATAGCTGGGTGTGATAAACCCATTGATACCAAAAGACTAAAGGAATCTAAAGGATTAAATTACTCATCCAAGATTGACCTAGGCGTATAGCACGTGGTATCCCACCAAAGCTGCAAGCCACCAAGCCCCAGCCATTCCCATGCCTGCCATGCGCACAATCTCCTGACAGTCGGTCGTGAAGCAGGGATTACCCGTTTGGGGATGTAATAATGTTAGTAGAGCAATAGTAAACCATCCCCAAGTTTGAGAATTGAGATAGATTGTATAAGTACAAACCGTTGGTTTAAACATGTTTAATCCATCCCCAGTCATGGTAGGTAAAAATGGCATTGGCTCAATCCCACATGTTCGTTGGTTCGATCAGAATGCTACTACTACCGTCTCAACAGCAGATCACTGCGAGACATTCACCCCAACAGCGACTGTCTCGGGTTGGTGTCTCACTTGCCATCATGAGTTTCATCATGTCCTATCTGTTACTTCATGATATAGAAGTGGACTTTAATCACTTATCATTTATTGTCTTTTACCTCTAGTAATCAACATGAATCAACCAAACAGTGGACATTTGGAAGATCCATCCTCCCGGAATCACGTAGATGCAGGCCTTCGGGGGTCCCCAAATCTTTGTTTTGGCAATCTCCAGGTGTTAACCAAGGAAAACCCAAACTCTTGGATCAAACCTCTGGGTCTCCTAATGTTTTTGTTGCCCATTCAACTAATCTATTGAACCAAGCAAAACAATCCAAAACAAAGCATCTATATAATATTATATAATCATGTCTGCCCCGGTTTATGGACTCCTGGTACCAACTCCTTTCCACGGACGCAACATCCCGTTCGTTTCACGACCTGAGCCGAATGTCGACTCCAGGTGAACCAAAGAATCCAGCAGCCAAAAAATGCAGGGCAGTGCCATGCCAGTGCCATGCCAGTGCCAGTGCCATGCCATTTTCTGTTTGAAGTCCGAGGTCAAAAAATAACCCAGCGACCTGCATATTCATCATATGATGTTCGGGTCTTGGAACATTTGAGGGTCTGAATCACAGCCAAATCATGTCTGATCATGTCTGTTTTTTTTTCCCAAGTTCCAACAGGGATGGACACCAAACAAAAACATAAATGGAACATTCAAAAATGTCAAATCAGGAATTCTGGGGGAAAAAATTCCCATCACAAAAATCACCAGGTTCTAATCACCAACGGCCAACCCCTTTCTTCGGCAGCTTTTCTCGTTGTCGGTGCGGCTCCGTGTTTGGGCGCAAATGCAGCAGTTCCTCGGACGGGAAAATCCACCAAGCACAGGATGACGAAATGGGGATGGGTCAAAACCCTATCCCCCTGGTGAACATCAAAATAGCTGGTAAATGGATGTTCATCCCCCTAAAAATGGTATGTATAGGTATTGATCCATAGCCAAATGTTAACCACCAGGAAATTCTGATCAACAAAAGAAACAATCTGGGCAAATCATACTAATCATAATAATTCACTAACCTGAAAGGACCTGATTTTTTTTGCCATTTTGGGATGATTCCCCTTGTTAACCATGATTCCAGTGAGGTCGCAGTGAGGTCATTATAATTTGCCCAGAACAATGGTGGTTTGTGGGGTCCAGCTTGCGTCGCTCTGTGAGTTCATGAACCCCCGTGAGCCTTCAGTCACTTTTAGGAGCATGCTGTGTTGGTACAGTATTTTCATAGCTCCAGTAATTTGATGTTCAAGAGCTGCCATAGCTTTCCAATATGGATGTTCAGTGGTTGAGAAATTATACTTGATGAAATTCAACACTTGGGAAATCACATCCAAGAACATTGCCAATCGTGGCTACTCGTCGCTTCCGGAGAGCGTCACGTCGCGGACGTGAAAAAGGGCGACAATAGTTTGAGGAAAATGACGTAAAACTAATCCTGATTTTTCGAAGTAATTTCCGGAGTCTCAGGATTATTGGGAATTGTTTCAGGAAGCACACTTCGAAACTACTGAGTTGATTCTACTTTCCCAATCTTGCATAGCAGGTTTCACTTAAATATTCATGGCTTTGCTGAATCAACACCCCGCAACACTTCTAAAAACATTGCGTGGGTTATGTCTACTCTTAGATATCTTGCAAAAAATGCAAACTTTTAGTATGGTAGTATGTACTGTATCGCGATTGATAGAGAAACATAAAGTACTAAACGATACTCTGCATTATTCACCATATATATAATTATGTATATACATGTATATAAACGACTTTATTTCGAAGGGTTTTCCCAGGGGTGCCCAACTTTGTTCCCTTGTTCCAAGTCACCAGCTTCAAATGTACTGCAAATTGCTGTGCGCCAGCCTGTCTAGCATTGGACGAGGCTTCACAAAAGGCGCCATGAAAATTGGAAACCATGCAATCAACATGAACGGTAAAAACGACCCAGTCCCAGTTTTTGGACCCATCAAGTGGGCCATCTTGAGCCGTGGTTTTGCCATTTGTTTCCTAATAGGGTTATATAAATATATATATGAGCCATACCCACAGAAACCGAAAGAAACATGGGAAATTCCTGGACATGTCATCCCTCAATGACAATCTGCGAAAATTGAGCCGTGGTTGTGGGTAAATTAGCATAGTACCCATAGTTCACCAGCCTGAAGTAAGGGCATTTAGGAATCATTCCCCCAATCCAATTCCCATCATTTTACAGTGATGTCGTTCTGACACCCAGATGATTGTTTCTCCTATATGTCTGGCTGTTTTTGGGGGTCCATCTGAAATTTCTAAGGGCACACATGTTGAGTGTAGTACGGAATTGCCATTCAAACACAATGACCAGCGGATGGCTTCAAAACTGCCACCAATAGGCTTGGGCATGTGATCAACTGTAATTCTGGTGATGTAATTTGGGCGAAAGGAGATTTCAAACATTCAAGCATGGTTATCGTATTATATCATTGGATGGATATCATAGTATAGTCAGTATAGTTGCTAAAACGATGTACAACGTTCTTACCTACTATACAACTATACGTTGTTACCTACTACATATAACTATAGGATTACATTGCCCTCTGGTAATTTAACATTGCTATTGAAAATGGCCATATATGTGGATTTTCCCATTGAAAATTGTGATTTTCCATAGCTATGTTTGTTCACCAGAGGGTATGTGATGATATAGCTGCTTAGTTCAAAAAGAAAACATCCATCCACAGGACTCCAAGCGAAGCGCTGGCGCCTGGGCCGCCGAAGCTTTGGGTGGCCTAGGCTAGGCCAACTTCTTTCGTTTTCTGGGGACTCCTTACATGATGACACCCATGATCCCATATATGTATAGTATATCTATAATATATATATATATATGCAATATCTATAGGCTATAGGCTATCTATTATGTCCCCAAACACAGATGCAACAGATGTACAGGATGGGCGAGTAGGTATGATAGCATAAGATAGCATAAAGGGCCAGATAGGATGCAACAGGACAAATAAAGGACAAAATACAATCTGAGGATATTAAAACAGGTTGAAGGAGGTTAGATATATGTGCATGGGGGGAGAAAGAAATATATATCTTCTCCGGTGGCGCCCCAAGAAAGAGCATGATTAACTAGTGCATTTAGGGATACTGCAAACCCAGCAGGCATACAAGATGATGTGCCACCTATTAAGCCACTAACATCCATTGATTATATCAATTGTATCCCATATTTTCATATATTTTCTGATATATGTCTTAATAATATGGTTGGTTAATTATCACCCGGTTTAATAGTCAAAAACTACGCGGTGTTTGCTTTACAAAGATTTCCAGCTTTCATCCCCAGTTGTTCATGCCTAATTTCTTTCCAATGTGTTGGCGACGTTGGCAAATCTCTGTTTCTGGTGGCACATTGATACCTTTCTTTGGCAAAGATTCGCCATCAACTATCACTAACTATCACTTCTGGATTTCAATTCCAAAAGTGGAGCACCAGAAATCTGGCAGCGTTCCCTGAATTGTTCATCCGTCATTCCGAAAATCGGTGAAGGAGAAGTCGCCAAGGCGGCCATAATCCGGATAACTTGTGTCTTGAGGACAAGGAAACCAACACTAATACCTGTTTGACCCTCTGGTAAACGTTTACATAACTCTGGAAAATGAGCATTTTTAATGGCTCAATCAAAATCAACTATAAATACTATTTCTATCATAGCAAACTGTGAGTTTACCAGTGGGTTTAGGCTTTTGTTCATCAACTAAAAACGGGTAAATCAAGTAAATCAACATAAATCATACTATTTCTATGTCCATTTTCCATAGCTTTCTGTTAGTGGGTCATGTTTTCTTCATCCGTTTGCCCATCAAAAAAACCCTCCCAAAACCCCAAGAACGACGCCCAGCCGCCAGGCCGGACGTGGCGCCATGGGCTCCGTCATGTGCGGCGCTTCGGTGAGCGCACGCAAGGGCTGACGCAGCACGCCGATCATCTGATGTCGGGTACCCGGGGTCCGCCAGGATGGGGGAAGGATCAGGAGATACTACAGGATGGGGCCCATCCTGATAGCGTTCAGTTGCCTGAAAAAAGTGGCTGAATTCTATGGTTTATAAGTTTATGGTAGATACAACTATATAGTTTTCATGGGGTTTGCAAAAAAACAACAAGATTCTTGTCAGCTCTTGATATAGGTATGGGCCCAAGAACCCTGGTAGACTGCTGTTCAGAGTCACAGTGCAGCAACACCATAATGGGATGCGCATCAAACCCTCTCCGATGGTAAATGGTGCCAATGTCACTGACAAAATAGGGAGGGTTGTGCCACGCAAAACAGTTTATAACTAGGTTTTATGGTCATCTATGGTGAATATATCTAGCCATATATCACCATTTTGACAGGTGGTATGGTTACCATTCCCAGTCATGGGTGATAAACATGGCACTGTTTTACCCACATTAGCATTCATCACCATTAATCACCATTAATCACCATTAATCACCATTAATCACCATAAAACCATAAATAACCACTATTAACCAACATTAACCAACATTAACCAGTATCATTAACCATTATTAACCATTATTAACCAGTATTAACCAGTATTATATGGTTTTTCTATGGTGGACCTATTTCTTAGCCAATCAACCTGCGCTTCTGGTGACCCGTTCACCTCCGGATCTGCCCTGCGGTGGACTTGACAAATTTCCACCATGAGCTCCTGCTCACGAGGGCCTCAGCGCCCAATCATGACATGCCAATCCCCAAAAGAATTGAACCGTTTTGAGATAAGAACCCATTTGTGTAGCGTTGATTCCAATGTTTTGAGGTATATCCAATATATGGAGGTTTCCTACAATGGGGGTACCCTTAGTCATCCATTTATAGATGGATGTTCCATGAAAATGAACTATACCCTGTGGTAACTTAACATAACTATGGAAAATCACCATGAACAGTGAATTTTCGATTGAAAAATTGTGATTTCTCCAGGGTTATGTTTGTTTACCAGAGGGTATCGCTGTTTTAGTAGGGAAAAGATAGAAATATCACTTTCTGTTCTATTATGTTCTATGAAAAGATGGAAAAGTAAATGATCGCCTTTTATGGGTGAAATTTTACTTTTCTATCTTTTTGAGGATTGCGATGGATTATAGGTTATAATCCCAGAATTAGATGATGAAATAGTTTACTGTAATCAACAGGAAACCCTCAGATCTGGGTGTACAATGTTCCTGTGTTTCCTGTAGATGTTCCTTTCAACCAATCCATCTGGCATTCTTTCTGAAATGTGTTCGGATCCAGGCGTGCCCCACGGCATTCGGAGCTGGCGATATGGAGGTTTCCTGTACCCAGTGGGTACCCCTAAATCATTCATTTTAATAGGATGTTCCATGATGTTCCTTAATGAACCATCCATTTTGGGGTACTCCCATTTTAGGAAACCCCCTAATATGTTCGGGTCCCGGGGCAAGGAGTGGGTGAGGGAGGGAAGCAAGGAGTTGCACCCTGGTAAAAATCTAGAGACCTTGGCAGGGGGGAAAACACATAGATCTTCAAAAATCCCTCTGAGCATCCAAGAAACACCATGGCCATGGCATGCCATGGCTAGTTCCCCACCTGCCAGGTGAGGGTTGTTAGATTTTATGTCAGTTGCCTGCTCCTCTCCTCTCCTCCTCATCTCCTCCTCCTCTCCTCCTCCTCCTCCTCGTCGTCCTCCTCCTCGACCTCCTCGTCCAACTGCGACCCGCGATCCACAGTGTTCTCTGGCGGACCTCAACCACGACCATCAATGCTCAGTGTTCCCTGCCGGACCTCAACCACGACCATCCACGTCAGTGTTCCCTGCCGGACCTCAACCACGACCATCCCCGCCCAGTGTTCCCTGCCGGACCTCAACCACGACCATCCACGCCCAGTGTTCCCTGCCGGACCTCAACCGCGAGTATCCACGCCCAGTGTTCCCTGCCGGACCTCAACCGCGAGTATCCACGCCAAGTGTTCCCTGCCGGACCTCAACGGCCTGATAGAATGCCAGAAGATATGCCAGATGGAATGTCAGATAGAATGCCAGAAGATATGCTAGAAAATATGCCAGATAGAATGTCAGATAGAATGCCAGAAGATATGCCAGATAGAATGCCAGATAGAATGCCGGAAGATATGTCAGGTAGAATGCCAGAAGATATGCCAGATAAAGTGCCAGAATGTTTGCCAGATAGAATGCCAGAAGATTTGCCAGATAATATGCCAGAAGATATGCCAGATAGAGTGCCAGATAGAATGCCGGAAGATATGCCAGAACATATGCCAGGTAGAATGCCAGAAGATATGCCAGATAGAATGCCAGAAGGTATGCCAGATAAAGTGCCAGAATGTTTGCCAGATAGAATGCCAGAAGATTTGCCAAATAATATGCCAGAAGATATGCCAGATAGAATGCCAGAAGATATGCCAGAAGATATGCCAGTAAAATGCCAGAAGGTATGATAGATAGAATGCCAGAAGGTATGCCAGATAGAATGCCAGATAAAATGTCAGATAGAATGCCAGAAGATTTGCCAGTAACAAAATGTATAAATGTCATGGTGGGGATCACACGAAGTAAAGTAATTTTTTGTTTTCTTTTTTCGGGGGATCAACGCTTCCCAATCTGTACCTTCTGTCCTTGGCCTTGTCTTTTTCGCACAGGACAAGGTCATGGGAAAACAACTAATACAATCATCAACAAAAAGAATTGAACAATATGAAGATCTGAAAATATGGGGGAAAAAACAAACATGCAATTTTACCTTTTTGTGAATGACGAATGGCGGGATGGTATATTCATCAGCAAATATCAGGGGGATTAAAGCTTCAAACATTTTCGGATATCCGGCAGAAATGATGCTTGGCGAATGATTGGGAATGACCTGAACCATGGAAATCCCTATGACCTGAACATCCTGAACCCAATCATAAACCAGAAGCTGGGTCCAATTTTCACATGTTTTTTGAACACGTTACAAACATTCGGCGTTCTGGCTTTTGATTCTTTGGTGAGCCCACATGAGCCCACGAGAAGTCTGAAGAAGGTGATCCTGTGAGATGCGCTCCTCTATTTGGATTCCAGAGAAATCGTCTAACTGGGGGCCCCATCTTGCAGATTTCATATCGAATTTAGATGAAAGAAATGGATAAAAGTTACCGGGGGATGGCCACATGAAAGTTGCATCACCTAAATGTTCTTGGTCAAACTCCAAAACCATCCCGCCCACATCTGGATAAAAGAAGGATGATTCACTCGTCGCGAGTCGCTAATCAAGGCCATTTTGGACTCCTGCAAACATTCCAGGGACATCGCAGTGAGGTCGTCATGATTATCATGACCCTCTGGTAAACTAACGTAACTATGGGAAATCACTACACTATATGTTTTACTGGTAAATCCACTATTTCTATGGCCGTTTTCAATAGCTTGTTGTATGTTTACCAGGCCGGGTATTCTCCAGGTCAATGGGGCTGAATCCTGGTGTTATCTGATCCTCTGATCTGCAGCCAACGGTGCTCTTGACCATCACCCGCAACTGCTGCCGCCAGTGGCATTCCACACAAAGCGCTTGCGCCGCTTGCGCCTCTGAAGGGGATTCATCCGAGAAACCATGGGGGGTTTCAAGTTTCAAGCAAGATTTTTTGTGTGTCCAGCAAGAAGATTGGATCTTGACCCAGCAAAATTGGATTTTAATGTTTTCAGCACCAAAAAAAAGAAGTTCAACCAACAAACATTGGGTTAAAAAACCAGGAGAGATGAGATTTTGACCGCCAAAAAATGCCATTGAAACTAGGCAAAGTGGAACTTGCTCGGCATGGGGACAGAATCTGTCAGAACAGGACCCCACCATCACATGAGAGCCATTCCACTGATACTTTTGGTACACAGTCTGACCCCATGTGATCCTAACTACGGGTATAGTCTAGTTCAAAGTTGTACTCAAAACTGCTGGTGGTATTGAAAAAAAATCACATCCGAAAATCCATACATCGTTCCTTGAAATTCCGACCCAAAGGTATCTTGAACGTATGTGGTTTATGAGTCAAAATGCAAAATACCTCGGGACCACAGGTTTGCGCCACATCTTGGCAGATGAGACCAGCGATTTCCATGGATGGGAATCATTCTTGACAGAATCCGCAGATCCGCCATTTTCGGGGGAATAGCTGCCCCCAAATCATGTATGTATATATATATATATTACATACATACCTATAATATGTGTATACATATATATATATATCATGATAGTGTATATATATATGATTAGATAACATACATACACATACAACAGATGTATTAATACATATCATATACATATACACATATATATACATGATATAAATACATATAATGCTGTGGGATAATGTTGTGGTGCTTCCCATGTTCAAAAATCTGCACCTCCGGAACGGCTTCTGCAAGGTCGTCCAGCAACTTGCCGAGACGTGGCTGGCACCAGACCTGGATGCACGTCATGGGCCATAGGGGATGCACGTCATGGGCCATATACCTAGAATCCCCACATACCCCACAAAAGTGGTGGTAAAACACCATTCTTATGGGTACTTGGAGGGTCTAGGTAGAGATATTAATCTATGCCTTGGATCGTTCCAGTTCAATAGCAGTTTGCTATGGAAAATCACCAGTTGAAATTGGTAAAATCAACTATAAACGGGCCATCTATGGCCATCTTACATAGCAAACTGTTATATAAATTATAAGAGGGTAAGCATTCTGATTTATATAATGGTAATCTGACCATCATCTTGTGAGGGGTCTTAACATGTCTTAACTATCGATAACGTTGGGATATCATTCATTGAGCACTGAGTGTTCTCAATTCGGTAGCTTTGGTCGAGTTAAATTGTCACCCTCTGAGAATCTAACCTGGCGGAAAAAAAACAAGTCTAGACGGTTTAATACGTACCAAAAATGGGGGAGTTACCGTTACCATATGGCTGTGGGTTAAAACCCTGTTACCTGTTACCTGGTAAATGGATGTTCATCCCTTCTAAATACAGTATGATAGGTTTTGACCCATCCCCATATGTGTTTTTTTTTAAAGCAGAACATAATCTCTGCAGATTGTAGCAGTTCAAGATAGTTCCCGAAGCTGAAATCAGACCTTGGGAGACCTTGGGATGATCCCCTGCAAAACATTGGCCCAGTTTTTTGTATCGAAACCCATGGTGATTTGGTGATCCCGGGATCCCCCCTTGAAGCAACCCTCATCTGGCAGAAGCTCCATCGGGAACGAAAGCCAAGCCACGGGTAACTCCAGGATCATCGCCATCTTTTTGATGCAGCCATCACGGTCTCTGTCCAGCCAGGCCTCGTTCTGGCGAAGAGTTTTTTTATTCAGCTAAGAAGTGGTTTAGCTAAGTGGGTTAGAACTAGTTCTAACTTTAACTAGCTAAGTGGTTTAACTAAGTGGTTCAGCTTAGTTATAACTCTAACATACAACCTGGATGAATCCTGGCACAAAGCTGAACCCTGGATGAATCACGTTCGATCCTTTTGGGATAGACCCGCCAGCAATAGCTTGACGTCCACGGAAAAATCCCAGAATGATGCTGTGAAATCCCAGAAAATCTAATTAGTAAACCCCACAAAATCATACAAACAGTCCACTGACTTATATATATATATACATAGTATAAAGTATATAATTATATATTATAAAATTGTGTGTATATATATATAATTTATATGTATATAATTGTGCGTGTATATATATATATTATGTATATATATACATATAATATATAGATAGATAGTGTGTAATCTTCATTCCATAGCTTCTGGCAATTACAACATGGCCTTTTCATGTCGCCATTCCTGGCCCCATGGCACCTTGAGGTCCTTCGTTGACGCCCGGGCACCGCGGCCACCGCTCGACAGCTGCAGGAGCTGCAGGAGGCGTTCACGCCAACGGTCCTGGCGGATCTACAAACATCGGCGCCACGGGCAACGGGGCAACAACGGCCGTAAGGGGATGGCTGGGACGTTCATCTCTCATTGGATTGGTTTTGTTGGGAAAATCTACAGGAAACCCATGGGTTTTTACCATCAAATATAGGGCTTTCCTGTAAATTTTCCCATCATCTATATGAATCTCAAGTTAGAATTGAAGATTTAGCTATGGGGGAAATCCACTAAATTTATATCTTATAGAATATTTTTTGGAGTATGTTCCTCTTAAAAGCTTCACTTTCGGAGATTTCCCACGTTTGATGACCGGAGGGTGTTAATCATCCCAAATCCCCGGCCCTTCCAAGCTTCCAAGTCCGGCTGCCCATATCCAGCTGGACAAAAGCCAACATGGAATTCCCATGTGAGCAGAGTTCAAAATGCCTCCGTCCTTCCATTATACTGGTTGGTGAATACCCTTATTGGATTACTGTAATTCCCAATATATGGGCTAGTATAATCCTCGAACTAATCATCAACCAACCAGGCTTTTGAACACTTGTCATGTTGGATTCTTCTGGAAATGCACCTCGTCAGATTCCACATAGGCTTCCCAGGCTTTCTTCACATCCACCTCCTGAATGGCTTGGAGATTTTAGAGTGGCGATTTAGAAGTTCCCATGTTCCTCTCACCAGCTATGTAATGAGGGGAAACAGCAGAAATGTCCAATGATGATATATCCAATAGATATATCAATCATATCCGATGTATATATATATATATACACATATTATATATATATATGTATATATATATGTATATATATATATTATGTATATAATTTTCATATGGGCCACGGTCAATATTTAGTATATAGCTTCAAGTCATCAATTTTTGAAGAGTATATTATCGTTTTTCAGGTTTTGGGAATATAGCAAGTGTTATCGTTTTTGAAGAGTGTATTATCGTTTTCCAAGCCCCAGCTCAATTTCCAAAAACTAAAAATGTCTCCAATACTACTTTCCATTACGCTAAATTTTGGCTGTAGTTCATATAATGTGTATATATATAATTTTATATACACTATATATATATATATATTATATACTATTATATACTATAATATACTATATATTATATATATTATATTATATATATATCCCATGGAGTTACAGCATGAGTTCCTCATCACTCGAGTCGCCCGCAATCTGCACCGCCAGGGCAGTCTGGTCGAAATTGCCTTGGTCAAAGAGGCGATTCATGGGGATTTCACGAAAAAAATCCTCCTCAAATGGTGATGTTTCATGGGAAAACAGTGGATAATCTCCACTTAATGATGGGATAATGATTAGATAATCATGAAATCGATAATAATATTATAAAATCATATAAATAATATATAAATTAATATAATATTTAGATATATTTAGTGGGCGACCCTCCGGTGTCAACATGGCTAGCTGGTTTTCCCCACCTGAAAAAATTTGCATTTCAGGGGGGAAAATCATCCCAGTACCAGCTGGCTAGTACTGTAGGCCAAATGCCATAAACCTTCAATGTTGGATGGAGAATATAACAACATATTATGTCACATATGTGTGGAAGATGTGAAAATAAAATATTAAAAAAAAAAACTTATAGTGGCTTTATCACATTGTAACCCTGGATATAGTTTGGCAGCTAAGTTGAAGTTTGTTTCACTACACGCTCGTATGACCAGGGAGTTTATAGCGGACATATTCAGAACTCGGGGGTCCCTCTTTGTGGTGCTTTTAGGGTTGTTCAAGTGACAAGACTATAGGCGGCCTCAACCATCCTAAAACGATGTCTTTAGATCATGTTATATGTTCAAGAATATTTGGGCTGGATTTTCAGTACGCCAGTACTATGATTTACTGTATATGGTCTCTCTCAACACAGAAAGAATACCAGGAGGAGAACCTGTACGTTGGAGAAAGCCTGATGGATGTAGCCTTTGGTAACACAGACATGTGTTCATGGTGCCCTCCAATGGACATGCCCATGGAAAACCCCTTTGTGTATAAATGATTATAAGTGGGATTATCCGGGATTATCATCGTTTATAATCATTATAAAATCATTATAATGATCATTAAATGTGACACATTAAATCCCCTTCGATTATAAATGACTATCACATTGAAAAAATGAATGTTCCCTGGCCAGGTGTGTTCAGAGGGAACCATACATGCAATGCCTCGATCAAGTCAATCCCATTCCAATCCCATGGCTTCTGTCATCAAATCCAGAAATCTTTCGAAAAGATATAACCTGGTTGGTGGTTGACCTACCCCTCTGAAAAATATGAGTTCGTCAGTTGGGATGATGACATTCCCAAAATATGGGAAAATAAAGAAAAAAGTTCCAAACCACCAAAAGATATAACAGACGTAAATCCAACTTAGCTCACATTTCTGGCGTTGAGAAACTCACGTATTTTATCTTCACCCAGCCGTACCTTAAAAGGACGCTGGCAGATTTGGCACCAGAACTTCCCCATCGCCAGAGTGCACATCAACAAGCGCTCCACAATGGCTTGGCCTGCCTGAGAATCGCGCATGCGGCGCGCGCTCGAGGATGATGCTCATCACAAAAATTCTGGTTGGTGGCTTTTCCCTACCCCTCTGAAAAATGATGGAGTGAGTAACAGTTGGGATTATGACATTCCCAATATATGGAAAAATAAAATTCATGTTCCAAACCACCAACCAGTATTGCTTGTCCCGGCCATTTAAGAGATTCCCTATAGAAGGCTTTCACATGCCAGCCTTGCCAGCATGGCTGGATCAGGTGTTGACCAATTTAGAGAAAGTCTTCACCTCAACTTCCCGTAAATTTGCTCATTTCCCATCAAAAAGTCCCATAAAATCAACTGATTTCTCACCAAAATTCCAGGATTTGTGGAGATGTACCATCAAAATTCCCCTAAACAACATCCCTTGAAATTTCGCGAATTTCATAGAATTTTCCTTAAAATGCCATCAATTTCCCTTGAAAAAACTGGTGAAACTTCTCCCCATTCAACCACGCCTGAACAGGGCTGATCCGCGAGCATCTCACCGGAAAGCTCTGCGCCGCCGGTGTTGATCCGCCAGCGGCGTTGCCAGGCGCCACCGAGCTGGCGGGGTGTTTCATGAGATTCTGAGATTTCCCACGGAAATCTAACACTGGAATTCTGAGATTCCAATATATTCCAATGATTTTAAAGTTGTTTGAATGGCTTTCAAGATGATAAATGTAAATATAAATATCATCTGATGGGATTTTAAGGCATGGAATGTTGGGATGTGAACATGGCGCGTTGGGACCCAACCGGACGACTCAATGGGATTTCTCCGGAAATCCAATGGAGATTTAACTTGGAATTTCTATGGTGATTTGTTGGAGTTTGAGATTGACGAGTTAAAAACCCCAAAGATATTAGGGATATTAGTGATGATTAATATAGTTTGGTATACACATTAATTACAATTATGTCTAAAAAAAACTGTAAGAATGAATCTGCGATCATGGTGTTATGACATCTAAGTAGACAGCATGAAAAGTTGCGTTGGCCCTCATTTGGAGGTACTGAAGATTGACCCGTACCAACAGTAGGCCTCAGTAGATCCGTTAACTGCGATTTTGGGGTGTCTCACATGTTTGAGGACACAACGCTTGTGTGTCATATTGTTGGAAATGAATCATATCATATGTATATATCCCGAATTATGATACTAATATCATCATAAATCTTGTTAAATTTACAAATTCACCAACCTCAGAAGTTCGGCCATTTGGGGATAGTTACGCCAATCCAATTCCCATCATGTCTGTTTTAATTCATTATTATTCATTATTATCATTATCATTGTATCGTATTGTATCATCATCACATGGATATTTCTTGAAATGAGGAACCCAAAGTCACCATAGGTTTCAATACGAGTCGTCATGGTCATCCATGACGACTGGAGGATTTTTGGGGGGGGTGCCCACGGCTCATCACTTAACGGTTTCCTATGGAAATTTATCATATGGGGATGGGGGTGTTCACCATATTTTGGGGAATCACCATCCATTAACCAGCCATTGTTTTATGATTGTTTTTTGGTACATCTCCAATCGTATACTTGGAACATCTAATTGAACATCTAATTGAACATCTTAGAATCATATTTGGTGACCACTCACCAACCATAACTTAGGGTACCGTTTGGGGACCCATAACTGCCCAGGTACCAGCGAATCATCAGGGGTCGATCCTCCAGCTCCGGAGGAATGTGCCTGGCACAATCCACCTGGCGCACGGGTGCGAAGAATTTGGGGGCCGGGCCCCGCTGTTAAAGAAAAAACCGCGAAAATGGATTGAAAATGGCGAGATGAAAAAAGGGGTATGGATTTGTTCCGGAGCTTCATGCAAATCCGAATGGATTTGTTCCGGAGCTTCATGTAAATCCGAATGGATGTGAATGGAGTCCGTTGGGAATTTTTACCAACCAAAATGATGACAGAACTATCAAAGAATGGAATCTCCGGCGACGAGAGTAATTTGCCAAGGGACTGTGTGGCTTGGAGGAAGGGTAACATCTATGGGAAATCCGTGTGATTAAATGTGTCTGACGTGTTTTGGCTTCTTGAACCATGTCGTTACCATTAAAACATCATCAAACAATATCAAACAATATCAAACATACGTAAAACCTTCAAAATGCATGGAAATTGTTCGAGCATCAAATTCTGAAGAGTTGTTTTTCCCTTTTCGCACATCAAGACTGGGACAGGATGGGACAGGAGGCCAAACTCAGGAGCCGAGTCTGCGAGTTCGAATTCACTGACAGTATTGATGACTTGATGACACTGGGATAGGGGCCGGGTTAGATCGGGTTTCAAGCTGGGATTACCACATCCCAGGGCGCGCCGTCACCAGGAGTAAGGAACCCAAATCTTTGTAGAAATTGCCACGTTTGCGAGTCAATGGATGAAATGCGCCCGACAGAAGCATCCTCGGCTGACGTGGTGAAGAAAGCATCTTTGGAGCTATGTATCCCGCCGGGGCGGTGGACCGGAGAAAGCACCAGATTCTTCAGCGAACAGCGAGTTGTCAGCAAGAATTGGCAGGCGAACAAACATGAGGACCGAAACAACCCGGAATATATAACTGGGAAACATTGGGAAACATAACTGACATAACCAACCGAAACCGAGCTGGGGATGGAACCACCACAAGGTGCGGTTCAACCAATCAACGTGTTTCGGGGTGTTTTTGCCCCGTACAAAAGTGGGAACAGTATGGTGATCAAACCAACAAATGAGATATCATTGGCAATCATTAGCAATCATTGGAGATATTAATGAGATATCATTGGCAATCTCAAATTGTAAGACATATCTGCAAGTGTGTCCAAAAGGCGCCACCTTTCTGAGTGACCCAAAAATTGCATCGTGGGCAAATTCCTCCAATCCCAAGCATCTTAGCTGATATTCTTTGGTAATTCATATGTCATTATCCCATATATATATATATATGTATATATATCATATATTCCATATATGATCATTTACTATCCAATATTAATGATATTTTACTATTTTTTCCATTATATAAATGATGTTATGATGATCCCATAATTCATCATTTAAAAAAATATTCCATATAAATCATCAGTAATATCCTATATGTATATATATATATCAATATATATATATATTATAATCTATCTATACATATATATATATATATTCCATATATATATATACACATAATTATATTATATATATATATGGTATCACGTTGTTCAATCCCCATGAGTTCTGTGATGCTTTCCAGTCTCGCAGCAACGCAGCCAAGCGTCTGTGTGGTGCCTTCGCTGCCAGCGGCCTGGCGATGGCGGGCCGTTTGATGGCCGAAAGCTGGGCCAAAAGTCTGGAAAATGATGGAAAATGATGGGAACATGATGGGAAAATGATGGGAAAAATGATGGGAACATGATGGAAAATGATGGAAAATGATGGGAAAATGATGGGAAAATGATGGGAAAATGATGGGGAAATGATGGAAAATGATGGGAAAATGATGGGAAAATGATGGGAAAATGATGGGAACATGATGGGAAAATGATGGGAAAATGATGGGAAAATGATGGGAACATGATGGGAAAATGATGGGAACATGATGGGAAAATGATGGGAAAATGATGTGGAAATGATGGGAAAATGATGGGAAAATGATGGGAAAATGATGGGAAAATGATGGGAACATGATGGGAAAATGATGGGAACATGATGGGAAAATGATGGGAAAATGATGGAAAATGATGGAAAATGATGGGAAAATGATGGGAAAATGATGGAAAATTATGGGAAAATGATGGGAAAATGATGGAAAATGATGGGAAAAGGATGGGAAAATGATGGGAAAATGATGGGAAAATGATGGAAAATGATGGGAAAATGATGGGAAAATGATGGAAAATGATGGAAAATGATGGGAAAATGATGGGAAAATGATGGGAAAATGATGGGAAAATGATGGGAAAATGATGGGAAAGGATGGGAAAAGGATGGGAAAATGATGGGAAAATGATGGGAAAATGATGGAAAATGATGGGAAAATGATGGGAAAATGATGGGAAAATGATGGGAAAATGATGGGAACATGATGGGAAAATGATGGGAAAATGATGGGAAAATGATGGGAAAATGATGGGAACATGATGAGAAAATGATGGGAACATGATGGGAAAATGATGGGAAAATGATGGGAAAATGATGGAAAATGATGGGAAAATGATGGGAAAATGATGGAAAATGATGGGAAAATGATGGGAACATGATGGGAAAATGATGGGAACATGATGGGAAAATGATGGGAAAATGATGGAAAATGATGGGAAAATGATGGGAAAATGATGGAAAATTATGGGAAAATGATGGGAACATGATGGGAAAATGATGGGAACATGATGGGAAAATGATGGGAACATGATGGGAAAATGATGGGAACATGATGGAAAATGATGGGAACATGATGGGAAAATGATGGGAAAATGATGGGAAAATGATGGGAAAATGATGGGAAAATGATGGGAAAATGATGGAAAATGATGGAAAGTGATGGGAAAATGATGGGAAAAATGATGGGACAATGATGGGAAAAATGATGGGAAAATGATGGGAAAATGATGGGAAAATAATGGGAAGAATGAAGGGAAAATGATGGGAAAATGATGGGAAAATGATGGGAAAATGATGGGGAAATGGTGGGAACCATGATGGGAAAATGATGGGGAAATGATGGGAAACATGATGGGAAAATGATGGGAAAATGATGGGAAAATGATGGGAAAAATGATGGGAAAATGATGGGAAAATGATTTGGAAATGATGGGAAAATTGATGGGAAAATGATGAGAACATGATGGAAAATGATTGGGAACCTGATGGGAAAACTGATGGGAAAATTGATGGGAAAGAAAATGATGGGAAATGGGGAAAATGATGGGTGGAAACTGATGGGAAAATGATGGGAAATGATGGGAAAAATTGATGGAAAATGATGGGAAACATGATGGGGGAAATGATGGGAAAATGATGGAAAATGATGGGAAAATGATGGGAAAATGATGAGAACATGATGGAAAATGATGGGAACATGATGGGAAAATGATGGGAAAATGATGGGAAAATGATGGGAAAATGGGAAAATGATGGGAAAATGATGGGAAAATGATGGGAAAATGATGGGAAAATGATGGAAAATGATGGAAAATGATGGGAAAATGATGGGAAAATGATGGAAAATTATGGGAAAATGATGGGAACATGATGGGAAAATGATGGGAACATGATGGGAAAATGATGGGAACATGATGGAAAATGATGGAAAATGATGGGAAAATGATGGGAAAATGATGGGAAAATGATGGAAAATGATGGGAAAAGGATGGGAAAATGATGGGAAAATGATGGAAAATGATGGGAAAATGATGGGAAAATGATGAAAAATGATGGAACATGGGTGATAGATCTGACGCAAAAGTATCAAAAGTCAGCTTTTCGACATCAATGATGCATCGATATGAAATGTTCCAGCGACATCCCGACGGGGGATTCTCGCCAACTACTAAGGCGATATGAAGCAGCAATAGGGCACAGAACTGACAACTATGCGGAGAAGAACTGATGATCACTGTCCTTACCATTCATGATGGTACCATTCTGAGATATAAATTGAGGGTGAATGATCGTAGCATTTATACATCCATTTACCCTCTGGTGAACGTTTACGTAACTATGGAAAGATCCACCATTTTTCATGGGAAAACTCACTATTTCAATGGACCATTTTCAATAGCTTTTTGTATGTTTACCAGAGGGTACAACCCAAAATATCAGGGTGGACGATCCCTCATCCTCAACATCCTCAACCATTCACCATTCATGGTGGGTGCAGATCTCAGGCGCAGCGTTGCGTTCTCAGATTCTTCTGCTCTCCATTTCGGCAACGTTTCAAAATCGTCTAAGCTAATACTTACGTATCTTTAAAAGTGATGTTCCGCAAATAAGTTCTTTCTTTAGATTTCTTTAAAGTCGTCTTTGTCAACCCATGTTAGCCCCATAGCCACAATAGCCACCCGATTCAATCGCCCCTATCTCCATTTCGGCAGCGTTTCGCCTGCAGCGACCAACTGGGCATGTGTTGCCATCTGCTCCGTTCGATCACTTCTTTGATGGAGATTCCCTGGCATGGTTTCTTTGGGAGCTGTCAGCATTGGAGGATTGGGGGTTCGTCCGAAAGTGATGAAAAGTGGAGATTCAATGGAGATTCCAGGAACCAAAAAGAATGGACATGATGGGACTCGTCCTTGGAAGGTTTTCAGGAACGCCATCCCGCGCTGCAAAGATCCCAACTCGAGTGCGCCCAAAAATGGGCCGTACACATCTCCATGGCTACCATTATGCAGCTCCGCATCTACTTAAAATCCGCACTTAAGTCTCTTCAGATGGTGATGAAGGTTGCCATAGATCGCAGAAAAAACACCTGTGCCACTCATGTCATGTGGGTCCTCCAGCAACTTTTGGGGGATGATTCCCCCAAGCCGACCACGAAGCGCCTGATGTGCGAAAACCCGGTCGTGATTCCAGGTGTGTCGCTCTTGCAACTGGACCAGCAACAACTGTTGATCCAGGTGGTCCACCATCAGAAAAACCTGTTCGTCCCATAGGAAGTCACCATCTTCGCCTCAGGGAGCAGGAAAATCACCAAGGAAAAAATAGGGAAATCAACAAACTCAATGGGCCATTGTCCGTAGCTGTTGAATTACCAGAGGGTAAGTCTTGCTCTCCTCTGAAATGTGCGTTCAAAACTTGTTGTGGTGCGATTTGTCTGAGTTCGTTCCCTTCGGAGGCAAACCGTCAATGGATTTGATTTATGGGGCCATGCGCAGGAAACCCTGTCTTTTTCTATGAAAAACCACTCCCCAGAAACACTGGTCAGTGGTGGAATTTGTTCCTTTCAGGGCCCCAGCATGGAAGGATTGATCATCAGGGGCATGGGGTTACAGGGGACTTCATGAAATAAAAATCCTCCAACCAAATCACTTGGAGTTCCTTATTCGGGGGATTCAGAAGTAGAAGGTTTTCCCAGTAGGTTCTGCAGCCCTGGTGCATTCATGGGAACCCCAAAAACCGGAACACTCTTGGAACCTTGCTGGAACCTTTCGCTGTTGGGTTGCAAAGCTGGGCTAATGGATAATAGGAAGCCTCTGCACGCCTTTTCGGCTCGGTCGAGGATATGGTTTTGGGGGCCCTAGTCGGCGTGCCGTATTTTGTTTGGCGACCCAAAAACATAGGGTTGTGACTGGGTTGAGCCCTCAAGACCTCACTGCGTGACATCATGGGATATGACCCACAACATCTAATGCTTACTGTCAACATCTGTCAACTGTTTACAAACTTCCTGAGGCTGTTGGATCCATAGGGTCTAATATGAACCTAGTATAGTGAAAGTATAGGGATCCCAAAGACAGAAAAGTCTTTCCAGGATGGGTTTTACATTATGTTTCCCCTCATTTTCAGTTATCCAACTGTTCGAATTCTATTTGGGGGGTGCTGTAGGTTGTTTTTTTTGTATACTTAACCATAGGTAATCATAAGCCATCCCCAATATTACCATAAACCGTTGGTTGGGATTCAAACCATCCCCAAATGGTAGGCGCTAATGGCAACCAGGGTCAATCTCACACACACCTCCCAACTCAAGGCCGAATCAAAGATGTTTTTAATGGGCGAACGGTTTTATTTTTAACTAACCCATTGATTGATCCAGTTCAATAAGTTAAAGCAATCATTAATCAATGGCTTAATAAAAAATTACCTGCTTTAACCCATTATAATTTCTTACCGGCAATTCGTGGCCATTACAGTACCCTCGGGCTTTTTCAAACATGGTGTGTCGGAAAATACCCCATTTATAGATGATAGTCCCATCCAGCCACCCCCAATTTCGTTGGGGGGATCTCCCAGCCATGGCAATGATGACAAAACTCCCATGTTTTGTATCGCACTATCCATTGTTTTCCATGGTTGACCATTGCGACAACCATTCGTTCAAGCCAAAAAAAAGAGTCCCAGGTATAGTCTCATGAAAGTCCGAAACTATTCGTCAACCATCAGCTATCAATGCCAAATAACCACTACTAACCATTATTGATCATTCATTTTTAAGAAAAATGCCAGTGCTAAAAAAAACATAAACCATTAACTTATAACTTCACCATTTTTCTTAACCAGTCACTTAGCCATTAACTGAACAATTAACATAAACCATAAACTTTGACATAAATTCATCAACTTTAACATCAACCAAAGGATGGATTATTATAAAAAATTATAAAACAACATAAGCCAAGCATTTCACCCTTGATTTCTTCGGATCAGGTGGCTCTCGGTGGGGTGACTCCTCCACGAAGAGGCGCCCAGCTGAAGGGTGCAGCTCAAGGGTCGACCGTGGCTGGTGACCTCAGCCATCGTCATGGATCAAGGGATGTACCTGGGAGGGCATCAGGAATTGAAAAACATTGACTTTGATATATATATATATATATATGTCATGTATGTATATATATATATATATGATATTATATATATATATTTATTTATTTATTAGATATAGATATAGATATAGATATATATATATATTCTGCAAGAAGAATCTAATCATCAAGAAGATCATTTTCAGATCAATATATGATATCTTATATATTTAATGGCAGGAAACCGAATCATCGGGGAGGTTAAAGGGAAACCATCAAATATCGGGGGGTTCCTGCAGATGGTCCCTTCCATCAATTTTTTGTGAACGAGTGAACTGATGGGATGTCAGGTCATTGTGGGAGGATTCCCATATTCTGTTCATGATTTCTGGCGAGGTCGTTCTGAGGTAGGTCACCCTCGAAGTTGCCAAGACAAGATAGATAGATCCCATGCGCATACAATATGCACATATACATATGTATGTATATATATATATATATGGTTACATACATAATTATATATATATAATATATGGTACCGTGTTCCGTGTTGCTGGCCCCCCCGTGGTATGGGTCCCCTCCCCCTGTGGATGTGTCAGTATTCCCCCTGCGGTGTGTGCCTGCGGTGGGGTTGGGGGGACCAAATACATATATAGTATATAGTAGATAGTATATAGTACAAAGTATGTAAGTGTGTATAATATAAAGATGATTATACAGTATGTAAAGTACATATGATGTAGTATAAAGTACACAGGTCTTGGGGTTCCGAAATGGTGCAAATAGCGTGTGAATGGGCAGTCTGGGGGCTGGTCTGAAGAGTTCAGAAAAAAAAACATGACCATCCTCCGGGGGGCCGAGCGACGCTGCACCATACATACATTCATACATAATTGTATATATATATAGATACTGGTTGGTGGTTGACCTACCCCTCTGAAAAATATGAGTTCGTCAATGGGGTTCGGACCATTTCATATATTATGGAAAATAAAAAATGTTCCAAACCACCAACCAGTATATATATATATTATATGCTGATTTACATCCCAATGTTTGCTTCATGGTCCCCTTTTGCGTCCAGCCATTGCTTTTTCAGACAGCCCGACATGACTGCCGAGCGGCTACACCACAGGCTCCCAAAACTCGACAGGTCAACACCCCCTGTAGAAGCTGGGCCAAACAGACGCCCGGATGCCCGGGCGAAACGGGAACAACAGGAACTTTTCAGTTGAAAACAACACTGAGAACTTGAGCTAATCAGCTAATCAGCTAATCAGCTAATCAGCTAATCAGCTAATCCTGGAGTTATATCTACTAAAACACTTTTATCATCTCACATCTGCATTGCAGAAGCCATCTCCATTTAAATGAAAAAAGGAGAAGCCACAGATCTGCACAGTCGCTTCCACGAGAAAAAATACAAAAAATTGTCGACCTGGATCATGGAATCATGGGCTGCGGGCAAATGTCAAGACAGTAAATAAGTTTTATGCAAACATACATCAACAAACATAAACATATAAACAATCATAAAATAATCATAAACATATACCAGATGATGCACATCTATTGGTCATATCAGAAGTCATCTCCCCCTCAAAAAATGCGAAAAAACGCCCAGCCAGCCCCTTTAGGCACCTCGGGACGCGCATGTTGCAGCCGATCCTCAAATGTTCCAACGGCGCTTCCATCGGAAAAAATCCGTGTGTTCGATCATTTCTTAGCCCAGTGTTAAAGAGCGTTAAGTTTCAAATTCCGATTTTAAAACACAGTCGATTAAAACAAACAGAAGACGAAACAAAGAAACAAAAAAAATATATAAAAATGCCATGGCTGCAGGTTATTGCCGAGCTGCTAATGGCCAAAGTGTGCCAAAGGGTAAAGGGATCCGGTTTGGCAACCTGAGGCAGCAACCTGAAAAATACCCGATGTTTGTTTATTTTGTTTCAAAGTTACCCTGACGTGAAAACCCATGACCAACTGAAACGGCCTGAGGTGAAATCCCAGTTTTTGCGGATGTTTTTTTGGTTGGGGATGGTGTAAATAACCGTTCTTAACCATTATTAACCAATATTATCCGTTATTGACCAATATTAACATATATTAACCACATATTAATGGTTGACAACCAATAACAGTATTATATATATATTGGATTATTAACAGTATATGAACCACATATATTAACCATTATTGACCAATATTATATAGCATTTAAAAAAACTTATGGCTGAACCTTTCCCTTTCGCGTCGTTCAAAACTCGGCTGAAGTGACACCATCTGATGGGCCAAAGTGGACGAAATCACGGAAATCAACGCGGCTCTTGCCTGGCAGCGGGCCCCAGAAGATAGAGCAGGAGAAGACCTTCCAAATGTCGGACTACTCAGATTGTGTTAAAAGATTTGATATGATTTGATTATAGAGGTGAATTTGACCCTTGAATGTGGGAGCAGATTGCGATTGGCGAGTTTTTAAACTGGCGGATTTTGTTCGGTGATTTGGTTGAAGTTCCGCGGTTCATGCAGCATGGTTTGCGGGTATTCTGCCGCCGATGGCTGCAGAATGATTGACCATTCAATCCAGATCCTAACCATAACCAAGTTGTATAAGGATCACTTTACTAAGTCAAATTTTAAATACAAAACTAGCCACAAAAAAACATGTTTTGATCTTCCTGCCACCTGGTTTTGTCCAAACATAAGGTACTTCTAAAGGTCCGAGAAATCTACCAATGTTTGGAAAATCATGTGCAAACAAATTCACTAATAGTTTGGACGCGTTCCCCAACAAATGGACAGAAATCCAATTTAAAAAAAAAACATGTGCCCATTAAAATTGTTATTTTTGCGCAGTACCATACAGCGTTTTCCCACAGAAAAACAT